TTTTTTTTGCCTTTTCCTTGAAAAACAAAACTCTTTTCTTCTTGGGGTACATCTACACTGTAGCGATAATCCAGTTTGACATGACTTTAAGTGCTGTAGCTCAATCCCATGGAATCCTTCAATTTTAGTTTTACAAGTTTAGTTTTGGCCTTCTTTGCCAAAGAGGGCTGGTGCCTCACAAACTACAAATCCCAGAATTCTGTGGGCTGGAGACATCAGCCATGGCAGTTAAAATGGTATTTCTACAGTGTAGATGCACCCTCGGTTCTTCTTGTCAACAGGTAGCAATGAAAAAGTGGATTTTTTAAACTTTTGCCACATTTTTCTCCCACAAGGCAAGTTTGTTCATCCTGGGACAAATAGGACAGTGATATAAAGAAGGATGTGCAGGACATGGATAAAGGATCTAGCTATTTCAAATGAGTTTAGGCTTCAAAGGCTAGATGAACTACATTGTTAGGTGCTGAACACTTTGAAAATTCTGGAGGAATAGGTGAGGTGCTGGAGGATGGGAGGTGGGGAAATGTTCCTCTATTCAGGAAAGGGAACAATGTCCATCAAAGAAGTTACAGACTAGTCAGCCTGACCTCAATATCTGACAAATTGATAGAGCAGATTATACAGCAGACTGTGAGTCACTTGAAAATACAGTAAAGCATTCTTTACTAGAAATAAGCATGGGCTTATATTCCCCCCTTTTGTGGGGGGAGATAGTTACTATTTTTTGTAGATCATAGGAATCCTATGGACGTTTTATGTCTTGATTTCAACAAATCTGCTTTCAAAGGTTCCTATGATATTTTTATTTATAAGGTAGCATAATGTGGTTGGGACAATACTACAGTTATGTGGATACATAGCTGGTTGAACAACTGCACTCACTGAATGCTAATTAATTGCTCAGCATCCTCCTGGAGGATGTCATGAGTGAAGTGTCATAAGGCTGTGACTGTTCAATAGTTTTATAAATGGACTGGATGAAGGGCAGCTTATCAGATTTGCAGGTAACACATTTTTGGGGGGATAGCCAACACCATAGAAGAGAGAATTATGATTCAAAAAGATCTAGTGAAGTTGTTTCTACAAAGTTGAAAAAAATACTAGAGAACATAAGCTGAATATGGGCAAACACTGTGATGCAGTAATTAAGAAACATAATACAGTCTTGGGCTGTACCAAGAGAAACACGGTGTCCAGGTCACAGAAAGTCATAATTATTCTTCATTATTCAGGCTCTGAGTGTCCAGTTCTGTATGATACATTCTGAGAACAGCACATCTAGAAAAGCACATCTAGACTGGTGAAGGATCTGAAACCATATAAGGTATGTGTTTAATGTGAAAAAGGGAACAGTAAGGGAAACATTATAGTGATCTGAATGGCTGTTATGCAGAAGATGGAGCAGAGCTGCTCCAGAAGGCAAGACAAGAACCAATAGGCAGAAATGACAGGGTAGAAGATTATAGCTTAAAAACTGGAGAAACCTCCTACAGATCTATTTGTCAGGGCAACAAACTGCTTAGGGAGATGGTCAACGCTCCTTTCCTAGATGCATTTAAGCCAGGTCTAGAGGACCATCTAACAGGGATGTCAGATCTACAGCTTCAGAGTGAAGATCTAGCAGTTTCGTTACAGGATGGTAGATTTCGATTGAACATTAGAAGGAACTTCTTGTCAGGGGGAGCGGTTTGGCAATAGAACCAATTGCCTAGAGAGGTGGTGAGGTCTCCACTTCAAAAAGGTCTTCAAAAAGAGTCTGGACAGCTTCCTGCTGAGGATCCTTTAGTTGTAGATTCCGCACTGAGCAGGGAGTTGGACCCGATAGCCCATGGAGTTATCTATGATTCTGTGGCTGAATATCTTGTGTTTCAGCAGGGACTTAGTGTGGCTGGGCTTCTTCCAGCCACATCAGGAAAGATTAGCAGGCCATGCTGGTCAACCAAGGATTCAACTTTATTTAGAAAAATAAATGCATTTCTATAGGTTTTTTGTGGGTTTTTTCGGGCTGTGTGGCCATGTTCTAGAAGAGTTTCTTTCTGATGTTTCGCCAGTATCTATGGCTAGCATCTTCAGAGAAAACTGAAATGGAAAGGCCTGGGTGTATATATACTGTGAGACCCTGGATAGGGAGGAGTGGTTCCCAGGTGAACTGTGTGTTGTCTGTGTTGAATAGGTATTGTACTGTGTTAATGGCATAGCTTCAGGCTATGCAATCCAGGATATTGTCTGCTATTCCCATGTAAACTGTGTATTGTTCTGTGTTGAATAGGTGTTTTTCTGTTGTAAATGGCATGGCTTCCAGGTGAGGAAATGCATTTCTGTCTCCCACCTTGACAGACCAAAATCCAGAAAGAATGGGTGCCCTTAGCCCTGAGCTCTTACATCCTAATAAAGTTTGCCAAGACTGCCAAACCACTATTACAAAGCATATGTGCTGGGAAAATTCCATGAAGCTAATGAATTTGATAGAAGTTTTGTCTTTCAGATGTCAGTTCAGTCCTGAAAGTCCTGGAATGTAAACAATCCTTCCCCAGGCCTTGCTACATAGCCCATTCCCCATTTTCTTGGAGTTATAGAAAACAAAATATGTTACCTAACCTTTACACCAGGGGTAGGCAACCTTTCCCCTTTAAGGGCCGAGGGACTTCAGCTCCCAGAATCCTAGGAGCTATTGGCCAACATGGGACTATTGGTCAACATGACTGAGGCTTCTGGGAGCTGAAGTCCCTCGGCCCTTAAAGGAGAAAGGTTGCCTACCCCTGCTTTACACTGTCAGCTTGTTTTTTTGAAAGTACTTGTCTAGCATCTGGATACATAAGAAACAGAGATGCAAGCATTTTTGGGATTAGCATATGTGAAGCCATGTTGTGTTTTTCCTTCAGCGATGGCCTAGATGACCCTCAAATACCTTCCAACTCCATGACTGGTTGATTATATTGAGGGCTGATAATTTCTTTTTATTGGCAAGTTTGAGATATTTAAAGGCTCTTGACATAACTGAAATGTTGGTGCCCTCTAGTGCTTTTCCCCAGTGCACACAGTACTAGGGAAAACCTGCTGATCTACACAGCATGCTTTGTCTATATACCATAAATCTGAGTTTCTCTTTAGCACTTCTTTTTAGAACTACCGTGACTCTGCTGAATCTTTGCTTATGCAGCAGAGAAGAAAACACTCTTTGTTCCAGAGGCTGAACTACATAATTTGGCTTTGGATAAAAGTGTACAAAGGATTTCCCTGTAAAATGTAGTGCTGGGGAAAGATAGTAACACTTTGCAATTTGATTAATATGTGCAGTGCAAAACCACTGGTTTGAAATAACTTCTCAGATGAATAATAGAAAACCCTCTTAAATCATTTCAAGGTTTGTTGCTGTCTGCCTTCAAGTCATTTCTGACTTATGGCAACCCTACGGCCAAGGGTTTTCTTGGCAAGAGTTGTTCAGCGGGGGTTTGCCTTTTTCTTCATCCGAGGCTGAGGAACTGTGACATGTCTAAGGTCATCCAGTAGGTTTCCATGACTGAGCAGGGATTCAAACCCTGGTCTCCGGAGTCACAGGGTCTCCAGCCTCAGAGGAAGGCAGAGCCTGAGTGATAATGTGGGTGCCTCATCTCACCATTCTGGAAAAAAGGCATCCCCTCTGTTCAGAACTTGGGCTGCCAGTAGACTTATGGCAGTATCTTGTCTATTCAGAACTAATGGAGAGAAAAGTGTTACTTAAAGTCAAGCTTCCATTAGTCACCTCTGATGTTATTTTTTTGGGGGGGGGGAAGCATGCTAATGCACTCCAGTTTGGGATAATGAGAGTATGTCTCTCTCTGATTATACAATAATGTGACAAATTCGCAAAACTGCAAGACATGTTTGCAGACAGCCTTACAATCCTTCACAAAAGAAAAGAAAACCAGCTGCCTGTAGATGCTTCTGCACTGTATAAGAATACTCAGCCTCTAGACAATTAAATTATATGATTTATTGGAGTCTGATAATGCATTATATAATAAATTGTATTTATTCATCAAATGGTGTAAGATTGTAACAAAAGCCCCATTCAGGCATTCAAGAAATATTCATAAGAAATGCTTGAGGAAGGGGAGCATGCTTCCCTTCCCTTCCACTCTTCATGTGGGGGATACTTTCTGAAGAGGAGAGCCTCC